CTAACTCGTCTTCTCGGCTCTGTAATTCTTGATATTCCCAAACTTTCAGTAACAGCCTGATGTTAGCTGTTGTTGTTGCTGTTGTTAGGTGACGTTGAGTCATCTGCAACTCACAGCGACCCTATGTACAGTAGAACACTGCCCAGTCCTGTGCCAGCTCCATGATCCTTGTTATACCTAAGCCCCTTGTTGCAGCCACTGTGTCAATCCATCTTGTTGAGGGCCTTCCCCTTTATCTTTGACCCTCCACTTTACCAAGCTTAATATCCTTCTCCAGGGAATGGTCCCTTCTGACAACATGACCAAAGTAGATGAGATGAAGTCTGGCTATTCTCACTTCCAAGGAGCATCCCAGCTGCACTTCTTCCAAGACAGAATTGTTAGTTCTTTTAGTACTACATGGTAGAATACTTTCTGTATTCTTCACCACCACCACCACAACTCAAAAGCATCAACTTGGTCTTCCTTATTCATTGTCCAGCTTTCACATGCCCCTGAGGCAATTGAAAATACCATAGCTTCTGTCAGGCACACCTCAGTCTGACACAAAGGCGATATCTTTGCTCTTCAGCATTTGAAAGAGGTCTTTGGAGCAGATTTGCCCAATGCTATGCAATGTCTAGGAGCTCTGGTAGCATAGTGCCTAAGGCACTTGACTGCTCACCAGAAGGCTGGCGGTTCAAACCCACCAGCCACTCCTCGGAAGGAAGGTTGGGCAATCCTACTTCCGTAGTGATACTGCCTCGGAAACCCAAGGAGGGGTCGCTATGAGTCGGGGCCGACTCGACGGCAAACAACAACATGCAATGTCTGGGTGCTCTGGTGGAGTAGTGCCTAAGGCATTTGACTGCTAACCAGAAGGCTGGCGGTTCAAAGAAACCAGCCACTCCTTGGAAGGAAGGTTAGGCAATCTACTTCTGTAGAGATATCACCCCAGAAACCCAAGGAGGGGTCACTATAAGTCGGATCAGACTTGATGGCAGTGTGTTGCATTGCGTATGCAATGTCTGATATCTTGACTGCTGCTTCCATTGGTGTTGATTGTAGAACCAAGTAATATGAAGTCTTTGACAACTTCAGTTTTTTCTCCATTTATCGTGATGCTGCTTATTGGTCCAGTTGTGAGGATTTTTGTTTTCTTTATATGGAGGTATAATCCATACTGTAGACTGTAGTTTTTAATTTTCATCAGTAAGTGCTTCAAGTCATCCTCACTCACAGCAAAGATACAACGCTGATACATTCCCTTCCTGATTTTAAACCATGCAGTGACCCCTTTCTGTTTTAACAACAGTCTCCTGGTCTATGTACAGGTTCCTCAAAGTGTTCTGGAATCCCCATTCTTCTCAACGTTATCCATAATTTGTCATGATGCACACAATCAAATGCTTTTGCATAGTCAATAAAACACAAGAAAACATCTTTCCGATATTCTTTGCTTACAGCCAGGATCTATCTGACATCAGCAATGATATTCCTCGTTCCACATTCTCTTCTGAATCCAGCTTGCATTTCTGGAAGCTCTCTGTCAATATACTGCTGCAACCATTTTTGAATTATCTTCAGTAAGATCTTACTTGTGTGTGATATTAATGATATTGTTCAATAATTTCCACATTCTGTGGGATCACCTTTCTTTGGAATGGGTACAAATATGGATCTCTTTCAGTCAGCTGGCCAGGTAGCTGTCTTCCAAATCTCTTGGCATAGCTCAGTGAGTGCCTCCAGTGAGGCATCTGTTGAAACATCTTAATGGGTATTCCATCAATTCCTGGAGCCTTGTTTTTCACCCCTTCCTTCAGTGCAACTTTGACTTCTTCCTTCAATATCATTGGTTCTTGATCATATGCCACCTCCTGAAATGGATGAACATCGACCAATTCTTTTCAGTACAATGACTCTTCCATCATCTTTTGGATGGATGGATATTCCTTCCATCTTCTTTTGATGTTTCCTGCATCATTCAATATATTTCCCACAGAATCATTCAATATTGCAACTTGAGGCTCAAAGTTTTTCTTAAGTTCTTTCAGCTTGAGAAATGCCAAGCATGTTCCTCCCTTTTGGCTTTCCACCTCTATGTCTTTGCACATTTCATTATAATAATTGACTTTGTCTTCTTGAGCTGCTCTTTGAAATCTTCTGTTCAGCTCTTTTACCTTGTAATTTCTTTCATTTACTTTACATACCCTCCATTCAAGGGTTAGTTTCAGAGTCTCTTCTGACATCCATTTCGGTCTTTTCTTCCTTTCCTGTCTTTTTAATGACCTTTTGCTTTCTTCATGGATGATGTTCTTGATGTCATCTCACAATTCCTCCAGTTTTCAGTCATTGGTGTTCAATGCATCAAATCTGTTCTTTAGATGATCTCTAAAATTCAGGAGGGATATAATCTAGGTCATATTTTGGCTCTTGTGGACTTGTTTTAATTGTCCTCAAATTCAACTTAAACTTGCATATGAGGAATTGATGTTAGCTATGCTTTGGAAAATCAAAGGAGGGACTTGAGTCAACCCTTGGAACATGCTTCCCATACTATGGGAAGTGTTCCCCACCCCCAGGCCAGAGCAGTGGTAGCAGCTGGTGGGAGGCTAGTGGTTCTGGAGCTGTAGCAGGTGGCTTACAGCAGAATTCAAGAAAACTGTCTATTAGCTCAGCAAAGAAAATTATGTGGAACAAAGAAATCGACACCATGAGAAAGCACATAACAAAAATGACAGCAATAAATTCATATTTGCTGATAATTACATATCTGGCCAGGGACTTATCTCTAAAATTTATAGAAACTCCAATACCTCAACAACAAAGAAATTAACAGTCCAATCGAAAAATGGGCAGAAGACATGAATAGACACTTCACCAAGGAGGATATTCAGGTGGCAGCTAATACATGAAGAGATGCTCACAATCATTGGCCATCAGAGAGATGCAAATCAAAACAACGAGATACCATCTCACCCTAGCACTGATGGCAAGGTTCAACAAGACAGAAAATAACAAATGCTGGTGGGGATGTGGAAAAATTGGGACTCTCATAAATTGCTAGTGGACTGTGAAGTGATACAATCACTGTGGAAAATAATATGGTGATTCCTTAGAAAGCTGGAATTGGAGATACCATTTGACCCAGCAATCCCATTACTAGGTATATATCCTAGAGAGGTGAGAGCCAGGACAGGAACAGATATATGCATGCTCATGTTCATCGCAGCACTATTTACAATAGCAAAAAGATGAAAACAACCTATGTGCCCATCATCGGAAGAGTGGATGACCAAACTGTGGTACATACACATAATGGAATGCTATGCAGCACTAAAGAATAATGTAGAGTCTGCAAAACACCGCATAATATGAATGAACTTGGAGTACATTGTTGTTGTTATGTGGCATTGAGTAGGACCCAACTCATAGTGACTCCTCCCCTCGGGTTTCTGAGGCGGTATAGATTGCCCAACCTTCCTTCCCAGGAGCGGCTGGTGGCTTTGAACAGCCAGCCTTCTGGTTAGCAGTCAATTGCCTTAGGCACTATGCTACCAGAACTCCCTGGAGGACATTACACTGAGTGAAATAAATCATTCACAGAAGGACAAATACGGCATTAGTTCGTTGTTGTGGAGGGTCAAGGAAAGGTTTATATATGGAGGGAAATTTTCTTTGTTGGTTGCCAAGGGTGGAAGGGGTGGGGAGGGAACACTGCAAAATAAATAAATAAATGCATTGACTCATGTCACTTTAGTTTTGTGTATTTCACTGTACATAAATTATATTTCAATAAAATGCATTTTAAAAAGAAAACTGTGTATTGAGGAGGCTGTGTTAGACAGTATTGAAGCTTGAGCAAGCCTGGAAGTCTAGACTTAACTGAATCACAGGTGGAGGAAGAAATTTGGTCAGGGATGGATTTACGGGCCATGAAAACCTTTGAGGATTCCTAGAGTTAATTGGTGTGTGTGTGTGTTGGGGGGAAGACTGGATCCAGGGGTACTGGATTTTCTCTTATTAAATAGGTTTGGTTTAATGGTTGATGAGGAGCTCTGGTAGCACAGTGCCTAAGGCACTTGACTGCTAACCAGAAGGCTGGTGGTTCAAACCCACCAGCCACTCCTCCGAAGGAAGGTCGGGCAATCCTACTCTGTAGTGATACCGCCTCGGAAACCCAAAGGGTCGCTATGAGTCGGGCCGACTGAGCGGCACATAACAACAACAACAATGGTTGATGATTAAGCAGAAGTGTGACCTCTGTGTTACAGGGGGAGGGTAATGAGAAGCACTCCTAGCTGGCCTGGTAGGCAGCAGATGTGTTTACATCCCTAAGTTCCTTTGAAGGCTTCCTGAGGAGTTCTACCCTGTCCCTCTCTCCTTCAACGTGTCTGGTTCCCACTGTTCTTTGCACACATTTTTATCTAGCAGCCAACTATCTCGTATTCATAATTTGTTATCTGTGTGCCTGTCTCCTCCGATAGCCTAACCGTAAAGGCAAGAGATTGATTGGTACTGGCAGTCAGATCCCGGTTCAAATCCAGCTCTGTCTCTAGGTAATTCTGTGATCTTGGGCGAATTACTTAATTGCTCTGTGCTTCAGTTTTCTTATTTATAAAATAACCACAAGACTTCCTAGAGCCTGCCGTTGCTGGGAGAAATGATAACGACAATGAATGTAAAGTTCCCGGGCACATGAGATATGCAAAATACCTGGGCACAGAGCACAGTAAATATTTGTCAATTAACCTGGCCTACCTTTGTTTTATGCACTCAACTAACATTTACCGAGCATTTACTGTGTTTCAGCGACCCGGAGCGATTCCTCTGTGTGCAGACGCCCTCACGTGTAGCCTGTGGGCCTTGTCCCGTAGGCGGTCTCATGACTGGCTTCGCCAGTGAGAAAACCCCTCCCATAGCCCTTCTCATCTGGACAGCGATTGGACCTGGAATGTCACAGGCATTCTTGTTGCTAAGCTCGGGAGGTGGGGCTCAAACCCGGACGCAGACTTCTTTCCGGTCGGGCGGGAGGAGGTGACGTCGGGAGCTGTGGCGGGTAGGGGCCTCCTGTAGCCCTTGGGACGTTTTATCTGCGGGCCTTCGGATTGCGTCACAAGTCGGGGACTGAGCCTTGGCAGTGGTGGCCGAGGCAGCGAAGGCGGCAGCGGCGGCGACAGCTCTGGGGTTTGTGTCTCGGGGTGTGTCGGCCGCCGCTGCTGCTTGGGCCTGGTATGTACAAATGGCTGGTTAGAATTCTCGGCACCATTTTCCGTTTTTGTGATCGGCCGGTGCCCCCTACCCGGGCCCCCTTGAAGAGGCGGCGCTCGAACAGGTGAGACTAGAAGGGGCAGAGCACCAGCCAGGCCTGGCTGTACCCTCATCCTCATCCCAGGTTCCTAGCCCGGATCGCGCTAATGCAGTCCGGCAGGCTCACCGAACTCCGTCGCTAGGCTGAATCCGATGGTGTGCGGGTTTTGGGTATCCTGGTGACGTAACCACTCCCTCTACGCTGGGAGGATGCAGCTCCTGATGAAGGAGGGAGCCAGGGGGAGATGATCTTTGGAGAGGCCGGTGATGGTAGGCACTTTAATGTTGTTGAGTCCAAGGTAATTGCTGACAATAAATCGGACTTTGTCATATTTTGCTGCCTTTATGCTGAAAACTAAACATTGTAGGAATCCTGTCTTTGTTGTGGTTCACCGTTTACAAAGCACATTCCCAAGTGTCATCTTCGGGCAATAAAAGCATTTAAAGATAAGTGAGATTCATAGCTTGCCCAAAGCAGTTTGACTGAAAGTGCTGTTCTCCTAGCACTGGGAGACAGCAGCTGGCTTGTTCAGAAACAGCTGTCAAACACTGTGGTGTGTGTTTGGGAGGTGGGGGGAAGAGGTGCTGTGCTTTGGAATTAGTGTACGAGACAAGGAATTAAGTACTGCATTCTTTAAAAAGATCACTAGTTTGTCCTTTAAAATTTTGGGGAAATTAAAAGCTGTTATTATTTAATATCTGCTCCTTGGTTTATCCCATTTTAGAGTATCTACCCCCTTACCTAATAATTTATCTAGAGAATAAAATATCATACAAATTCTAAACCTCCCCCAACTTTTAAGCCTCAAGATCAAAGAAGGTGGAAAAAAGAGTGGTTTCTGGGAGGTGCGAGAACAAGATGAATACAGGAGTCTGAGAATTCAGGTCATTGATGAGAACGGCCGTTGGCTAAATTCCATTACATACTCCAGATTGATAAGAGGATCATTTAAGATCATGTCGGAAAGTGCCTAGCATGATGCTTTATATATATAAGGGTAGTATTTGTTTACTCTATCCCAGGCCCTTCTGTGGTGTCTGGCACATAGTATACACTTGGTACAAAGGAGTTATCAAAAGAGGGAATGTTTTAATTTATGTAGTGCCCAAGGTATTTGCTAACCAGAAGGCTGGCATTTCAAACCCACCAGCCACTCCTTGGAAGGAAGGTTGGGCAATCAACTTTCAGAGAAATACTGTCTTGGAAACCCAAGGAGGGGCTGCTATGAGTCGCAATCGACTTGACAGCAGTGAGTTTGGGTTGGTTTGTTTTTTCTTTCTTCAGTGAATCCCTGTTTAATCAGGAGTAGAGTGGTTTGGGAATTAAAACCCTGTTCTTCACCACACTTTAGGTGTTCACATCCTTAATCTAAAACAATGATTCTTGATATACACCATTTTTCAGTCAAAATCAAGCCAAGATGTTCTTGTTGGAATATTTATAGTTATGAAGTGAGTGGTATCCATTTGGATCTCATTCTGTTCATTGGTTTTTTTTTTTTGGTAAATATGAGCTATCAAAAGAATCTGGAAAGACAATTAATAGTATATCATGAGCCTTTAAAATTCTTACGGTACGTTAAAAAAAAAAAATAGGAGCTCTGGTGGTGCAGTGGTTAAAGTATTTGACTGCTAATCAGTAGGCTGCCAGTTCAAACCTACCAGCCACTCCTGGGAAGGCAGGTTGGGCAATCTACTTCTGTAGAGATACCTCCTTGGAAGCCCAAGGAGGGATTGTTATGAGTCAGATATGACTCCAGGGCAGTGAGTAAGTTTTATGGTATATTGTGGTCAGAAACATTCCTGAATTCACCGACTCTTTATTACCACAGTAATAAAATTTCCTTGAAAAAGATACAGTTATAAACACCTTTTCTGGCTAAGGACTATCTTTGTTGTTGTTGTTATGTGCCGTCGAGCCGGCCCCGACTCATAGCGACCCCTCCTTGGGTTTCCGAGGCAGTATCACTACGGAAGTAGGATTGCCCAACCTTCCTTCCGAGGAGTG